TGATAGCAGTATACGTCAGGTGTTGTTAGAATAGAAATTGTTCGTGTGAAATGTCAGACAGTAACGCTTAATTTTCTACACAAATCTCGTCCAATTTGCCATGTTTTTGGAAATTGAAAACATCAATCTCTCAATTTTCTGTAATTTTATAGACAGTTTTCCTCCTTTTTTTCTTATGACATCTCTAAATTTGATTTGAAATGTCAGTATCGGCGTTCTTTGGTACTTTAATTTTATTTTTTAGGTCCAACACCTTTATTGCAGACATAGCATGACTTTTCAGAAAATTGGATGTATTTTTTTGCTGTTGTTGAATAACGCATTAACACATATTTTTTCAACTAACTTTATAAATATGTTGCATGAAGTAAAAAACAAATATGTGTCAGGTCAGTAGCCTCGGGTTACAGAAATCAGAAAAGTACAAATAAAGAAAAACTAACCGCTTAATATGCTAATTGGCTGAATTAGAGGCTACAAAAAATAGTTTATGACGATAGCTCTGACAATATTTGGTAACAAATTATATTATGTAACTGATAAAACAAATTTGTTTGAAATTTACAAAAAACAGCTCAAACAAGTTTTAATCCCAGAAATATTGTATCAATATTTTCAAACAGTTGATACCGTGGGCATAAGTCTGTCATCATTGTTTTTGACAAAATAGTTAGTATATATGAGTTACGAGTTTCAATTTTACCTCAGGAGATTTGATTCCTATTGACAACATTTTTATTGAGTTTGTAAATTAATAATCATTGTCAAACAACGTAGTAACAAAAGAGCCTTCTGGTTCTGTTTCGCTTTAAGTTTTCCGCCGAAGTATAATAAAGTAGTACTAAATATTCGAACTTCAAACGTTTGTTTAAAATTTATAATTTTAATATCTCGATCAAACATTTAAAACACGTGTTATTGCTAATCCGTATGTAATAAATTAATAAAAATATTGATACGTGAGTCTCGTAGAGCCGCGAGAGACTAAAAGTTTCAAATCGGAAGAAGATGGAGTTGAGATAGATATCATATTATACTTGTCGTGTGATAATTCAAACGATCATTTTAAATAAAGCAATTAAATTATGATAAAGATTACACACAAAAATACACCCATGGTCAAAACGACGAGGAAGGAACGGACTGTCCACAAGATTCATGGCGCCCAGAAAATGGCAGTTGTCATGATAAATTATGTCATAAATGGCCATTTGCATAACTAAACCTGTAACTGGACACAACTATCTTGACCAAACTGACCACTAAAGTGACAATTTACATTATTATTTAATTGCTATATAGGCTATAGATTCAATTTATTTGGTACTTATGTTATATTAATTACATATATATGACACCACTATAAAGATTGTATATTGCACTTCTATATTTATATTAATATTCTTGAAATTTATAGTTTTCATTATGATATACATTTACAGATTACTGTAGAATTGCTGAGTAGCGACAGTTGGTCTCTAAATTGTTGGTGTCTTTAGCTGAATTACAATAAATAAATGTACATGTTTTCATTTGAAGTTTCTGTATCCTTGACATATAACGGCCGAGTGATATTCGTTTTCAACGCTATAGATACCAATATATAAAAATTCTATATCAGTAATTGATTTGTAATCGTAAATTCGCACAGACTATATGTAAATTAATTAACCTATTAATGAGAAAAGACCAAAAACTGAAAGATACATGGATAGAGCCTAAATCTTTTCCTATTACAGATTAGAGGTTAATGAGCGAATTATGCAGAGTTTTCTGGTTATCGTAATATATGTACCAGAACCACTGAAACCATTAACAGATTGTATATTAGTCGGCAAAACATGATTCATTTCAAGTTTGTAGCATAAAACATTTATTTCTCTCAATGAAAGACTTTTACAACAAAATTATGTTAATTGCCCAAGATGAAAAACCTGAACTCATATATAACATTACCAAAAACACATACGATAATGAAAACGTAAAACGGACTCGGCAGATGCAAGGGTGAACTCGATCACTTTCTTTTTATTGCAACCTAATAACGGAGTATACCTATTCGGTCTCTAATTGGCCACGGGTGACAGTGCTACAATTCAAACCGATTTTGACTTCTTCATTTGCAAATTTGTCTCGTGTCGTGTTATATCCTATAATTATCGATAAGATACCCTGTTACTGAAGCTAACTATAGTTTGTTATTCTATTCAATTCGGTTTATCCCATACGAGAAGGCGTTCCCTTACAATAAAAGAAGAATGTCCCAGCTGTAATCGAGAAAATATTTGGAGATTCAACATTCTGTTATTATTAACGTTTTATGAGTTTTATAATGTACAGAATTTACTGAACAATGTCACAATATGTATCTCATCATGGTGTTTCCCGATAAATAGTTTATGTAATGTGTTTGTAATATGTTGATAATATGACTGAATAAAATGCAAAAGAATAGAGAAAAACTAATAAATAACTAAACAAAAGCCCTCCCCCAAAGAATAAATAGAATAAATAGATTTTGATAGACCTTTTTAAAAGTCTAAATTCGTCCTTAATCGTGAAATTCAATAAATTAGGAAATTTTGAACTGTATATATGTATCTATGAGACGTGTGTTAAACGAAAGCTCCTTTTTTTTTGCTCATTTATATTTCTAATGTTAAATGTATGCTTTTTCTCATTGTATTATACTGTTCACCTTCTTGGCTAACAGGTCTAAGGCCTATAGCTGTTTTATCTACATTACACTAGTCATGTATTCAGGTCTATTCTATATGTATGCAATACAAGTTGTAAATTGAATGAGGAAAAAGATTTTGACTTTTATACATGTCCTCAAAAGAGATTATTAATCTACGCACAAAGAAATGTTTTCCTCGGATCGGTCTTGTAATTCTGGCCATACTGTCATAGCAGAAAGTCATTCTAAAGTTTAATCAGCCCTCATTGTACATATACCAACAGCAGTATCTGTAATATAAGAATAGTGTAGTTTTATACACTTGTCTTCAGAGCATTTCAGAATCTGTCCGTAATTTAGCTAGAATCCAGAAATAAAGCATTCGTGGAGGAATCATTACACATGTATGTGGGGCTAGGATGAAATTTGAAAAAAATAGGCAGGACAGGAGTTTTTAGTAAAAAAAAAAGGCAGGATGAAATTATTTGCAAAAAAAAAAAGGCAGGATGACAATTTATGTAAAATAAAAAGTCAGGATAAACTAAAAAAAAAAGGCAGGACCGAATAGAGTGAAAAATAAAAAGGCAGGACCAAATAGAGGGAAAAATAAAAAGGCAGGACAAAATTTTTCATCCTAGCCCCCCCATAAAAATCAAATGGTACCTCCCTAATTGATAAAACTTTCTACATTGTATTTAGTGGTATGATTCAAAATGGAATTTATATATATTCCGTTTTTCAAATTCTCCTGACAGAAAAATCACATCCTTGAATCAATATTAGGAAGCTTAATATACTATTTACATACACTCGAGGTCTTAAGCATATTAGTCCCTAAAATTCTCTTGTCAGAAATCCAAAGACAAAATTGTCAAATAAAACAAATGAAAAAAAAACTTCAGAAAGATCAAAGAGACCATTTTCTCCCGAATGGTTCCGGACAAAACGAATTAAAACCAAATGAATCTTCAGTAATTAAATAGTCATGATATTACTTAAACATGCCAGGGATATTATCAACTAAAACCTATCTATTTCATGGATAAAGTTGACCTTAAAATTAAAGCAAGCCATTGAAAACCGTAGCCCAAGTTATGCTTAACTGCCTGCCTTTGTAAAACTTGTAAAATCCTACACCTGGCGGTGCTTATCAGCTTAAAACTTTAAAATAAGGTGAAATAATTGTAGTATGCACGAAAGGTATATATAAAAAGGTTCACTATAAACAATGATATCAGTCTGCTTAAAAGACAGTCAAAATGTTCCAGTATGTCAATTAAGTCAACGTATAACAACAGAGGTTGTGTATTGAACGATAGTCTATATTATCAAATAGTTTCTTTTATTATTTTGTTAGTAATTGAATATTTCATAAGGAAAAGGAATATTGTTGAAAATTGGTGTCAGTGATATTTTATAATGAAGTTAGGTGCATTTTAGAAAGCGTATTTGCCATTCTTGTGCGATTAACTTTCAGTCTAATGGTTAATTTAAAATGTATTTGCATGATTATTGAATACATGCTTAAGATTTATGAGTCTAAAAAAAAGAAAATGTTAGTTAAATTGGATTACTTAATACAATTGTTATGAAGACAAGCTATACTTTCCGGTATAAATCAAACTGTTTATTTTAGATAAACAGTACTAGTAGAACTCTTTGGCATTGTCGAAGTTTCACTACTGCAGTTTCAAGATGAAGATCTGATATCATTGGTTGTATTTTTGTGTCTGTAAATTGTTTACATTCATTTTCATAAGTGTATTGTCATTTTATTGTGTCAATTATTGTTGTTGTTCTTTGATAAAAAAAAAACATTCAGATATAACGATTGCAACTGGGCGTTAAGCAAGAAACAATCAATCAATAATTACAATGATTTTCTTAATTTGGTCATTATATATATTCCAATAAAACCACATAGATATCTTTTCTGGTGTTATTATATGGTTTATTCACTGTCTCATTGGCACATACTAAACATTTCTCTTTATACAAAAAAGATTTAAATAAATGCTCTGCTTTTTACTGAGGAATAAAGGATGCATAAGCCTCATCCGGGTTTTTTGGTTGGTTTCGTGTTGCTCAATACTCATTGTTCTGTTTATAGTGTTTTGTGGAATGGTATAAGTTTTTTTTCTTCTTATTTTTTTTTGCTGTGGTGTTGGGTGTCTTCTTGTTGATAGTTTAGACAATGGACCATATCATAGTTCGAGTTCTATAATTAATTTATAATTCTATAGGACAGAATTAGAGGTTAACTAAAAATTTTCTTTCGTATACAAGTGGATGTCTGGCTGCATCAAAAATGAAAATAAAATTAAGTTTCATTCATTTATTGTTTAGATACATATTGAGAACAAATATTGCACACTTCCCATTTACTAGTAAAGCCCTGAAAAATCAATGCCATTAATCGTTTAAACAATGTACAGAAATAAGAATTCACTAGAAGAAAGTCTAAATATATACACCTAAAACGTTAATTTTTACTTTAAAAAAATGAATAAAGGCATCAAGATCTGTTATGCTTTATCGTAGATATATTCGTGTAATTACTTTAACCCTGTCTTATTCTATATATATCACAGCATCAATGTTTTTCATGAGCGTTGTCCGTCCTACTAATGCATCATTGTCACGTGATTACTTCTTGAGCACTTGATCCAAAGATCTATATCTAGAACAACTTAGGTTCCGGAAGTAAGTTATGACAATAAATCGAACACAAGAAAAACAAAAAATAAAATAATAATAAATACCCGTCTAAATAAATAAATTAAACAATTAACACAACAACAATATTATTTGTCTGACTCAAGTCTTGATCGGTTAATGCCATATAACATTCTTTCCATACTTCTAATGTCATTATTTGTACGATTGTTTAAACTGTCGTATGGGGATGGAATGTTCAATGAAAGTGGGCTTCTACTGTTCGGCGAATGTCGGCTAATTCCGTTCATTCTCGGTGAGATTGACGGAGATGAATCAGATGCACCACACATTGGATTCCCTGTTGCTGACACTGGAGAAGTTGAAGTAACCATTGTTGTTTTTGTCGATGGAAGTGAGTATGGTGTGTAACGAGGACTAGAACGTGATGAAAACATAGGTCCAAGATGAGATGGTTGATTCTGTGGTGATGTTGGACTATACGGTGAACTTCCGGAAGAAAATGCTGGTTGTAAGAGAGACTGGTTCGATAACGACAATGACAATGGATGTGTTGGTGGTAAATTGTTCATGTCACCATGTCCTTGTGAAAAAAAAGGAAGTTGTGACGAAAATGCTGAATTTCCAGAATTAAATAACATGTGTCCAAGCGGAAACGGAAATGATGAAGAAGATGAGAAAAGTCCATTTGACGGGTACATAAAAGGAAACATAGCATGTGTTGCTGATGGTTGTACAACTGTTACATTTGGTGCTTTAACTGGTCCTTTTCGATTGTCGTCTGAGTCGGAATGAAACGAGATTTCTGGTGATTTAAGTCGAGATTTTTCTTCACTTATAGAGTCATCTGAATGTGAATGGTCTGCCTCGCTTTCGGATTTATTAGGGGATACGTGGCTAATGTCTGATCTGTCTAATTCATCATTTGACGACGATGTCAAACTAAGATTTATGTCTGCGCGTTGGAATCCTTCTTTGTGTACTGGGTCATCAGATGTATCTAATGATTGCTTTACTCCAAATACATCTGAGTGGATACTATGAGGAATCTTCATATCAATACCACTTTCCTGTTCGGTCGCAATAATTCCTTTAAGTTCTGTTGCAGATGTTACCTCAGATGAAACATCGTCAGTTTCGTCAACACATATCTCAGTCTCGTCTTCATCGTCGCTCAGAGTTGTGTCTGCTTTGATTTGTTCTCGGTCTGATGAAACTAATTGTTGGCTTGAGGAACTTGAAATGTGCCTTCTGTAAAAAAAAAACGAAAATAATAAGTTTTTCAATAAAATAACGTCTCAAAATCAATGAATTAAGTGATTTAAAAAAAATAAACATTCTAGTTTATAAAAATTAATATAACTAGGAAATCATTTTATATTTTATATTTAGCATTAATAAGTATACTATTTGTCAAAATGTATGGTCTTTAATCGTGTTTAAAATTATTCTTTTTATTAGAAAAAAATACTTACTTTTTCTCTCTCTTGCCAGTCCCTGTTTGGTCTCTAAAACCCTTTGCAAATGGATTGTGATTGATCTTTAGCTGCGTTACCTAAAATACATAAATATAAAAATTAAATATAATATATTTCGAATATAATTTTGTCAATTTTCAAGCGAGACAGAGAACATGGATATTGATCGACTACTATTTTGTACGTTGTAATGTCTCTGTTGTAATGTATTTCAATATAATTTGTTTTATATTTATCAAAGAAAAATCGTGTATCTTTGCCTAGTACTTGGGATACTGATTTGCAACTGGAGTGCTAGACCAGTCGACAACAATAAACAAAACTCGCTAATTATTCCGTCATTACCATACTTTAGTAGTTTGCAATTAGATCTGTATTTTCATCAAGTAACTGCTATCAGTGACCATCTTTCAATGCAAAATATACAAATCATGATGATATTGTTTGTTCAGCATCACCTGAATGTTTGAGTATCATTGGGAAGCTCCTTTGGGACATAGATTAAGCTGCTTTGTAAACGCTTCAAATGATCCAGACAATTAACAGGCACGTGCGTGTCATCTTTATGATGTATAGATGGCGCTTTGTAAATAAACTTGTTTTAAGAGTCGCCTTAAAAGCTATAATCTGTTTAAAATAAACTAGTAAACACACCTTTTCATTCTGATACGCTGTAACTGCAATAAAGTGGGTTTCTTTGAACACGTATGTCTGGAACGAGGAATAAGGTAGCTTCAAAATGTCATTAGCACGAACTAGATGAAACCGAGGCTGGTACTTGTGCATGGAGTTGAGAATAGTCTGCAAAAAAGAACAAAAAATTATGTTTAATTACAAAAATATAGTAAGGGCGACAATCTAACTATTACTTTAAGTTGTCAAATTTTAAACTTCGTCGGCTTACTTTGTCATTATACGTGACATGTAAAACAAATCTGAGGAATTAATGTAATGAATATATATGAAGTGGATCAGTCTGTTTCCGCACATTTACTCGGGCAGAAAATTAAATAGACAGATGCAAATATGGCGAATAATTATTCTTAAGTTGGCATATTTCTCAATTATACAAGAAATGATAGAGTCTAAAGACCCATCACCGATCAAGTCAATCAATTTACATCAAGTGAAAACGGCCAGTAATTATTTCGCTTGAATCGTTTTGTATACGAATATTCGTTTAATTAGTTTTGTCAGTAAATCTTTTTGTACTTAGCGGAAGCTCAAACACTAATCCCACAAAAATTGAGCAATAGATTCCGAACCCTGATAGGGAAAACTGACCGACGTGTTGGCTTAAGGAATACGGCGCCATTTACACATACGAAAGAATTTTTCTTTATCCGTAAATCAAGTATTTCAACGCCTTAATGAAAAAGGTGTTACACTATTAGAGGAATTATAGAACAATTATCATTCTTATTTGCGAAAGCTAACAGTCTTTATTGTATACAAATTAGGTGCTTATGGAAATTGAGTGAAAATTTTCCCAGTTTTATAGACTATGGAAAAAAAGACTAACACCCCCACTTAGTCTATACAAATTATCGCTAAGGTGATAATGCTCTTACAAATTCACAATTCCACGTAAAAATGAGCTGTGATTTTTAGCAGATCGTGAGGAAAATGAAAAATATCTATTTGCATAATAAGCCATATTTATAGCTTATATGAAATTAAATCCTATAATTCTGCAGGTGATTTTGTGATAGAAGCGAATGATTATTGCGTAACATCGTCTTGTTTTCAGAAGAATGTATCTTATACAGAAAAATCAGAAGCACATGTCTTACATAAGATATGTCATTGTGTTACACGGAGTCCATCAAATTAACAAGATTGTTCCAAAACATTGAATTGCTGATCCTTAGCAGAAATACATACAAAACTTGCCGACCTTTGATCTAGCGGTGAAGCTGATAGATTCTTCCATTTACTTGTAATCAAATTGTATGCTTAATTAATTTATTATGAGTTGATAATTTGTGGGGCGTTAGTTTAAAGAAAAGCCAGAGTAATTCTAAGGAATATGTTTAATTAGCAATATTTCTACACTAAATTAGATTATATCTCAATAATAAAAGGTGTACAAGAATTCTCTCTAAGTCAAGGAAAGGTGCGATACAAAATTATCCAACAGATGCCATGAAAAATTATTTCGCTTTTCAGAAATTTTGAAAATGAAAAATTGGAATGAATGCCTAAAAAGTAGCTCTTTTTTAAAGAGTCCCAAAATTTGTTCACAAGTTTTTGCGATTGTAGAGAGAGAACCCTTAAAATGTGTAAAACTTACAAAATGATAACTTACGAATCCATGCTTGTCAGAGATGTTATTGGTCAGTTTAAGTTTGTGGAAGGAGACAACTTTTTGCATCCATTGCTCGCCAGTGCTTGGAGAATCTGGGTGAATGTACATTCTCTTGGGCATCTCTGGATCAGCCTTTCCTGCGACAACCCATCTACTGTTGTGGAACTTGTACCTGCAGTCATCCAAAGGGACTGTGTCCATTAACAAAATGTATTTAGCCCTTTTGTCCAGACCAGAAACACGTACTTTATATGGCGGGAACATTCGCCTGAAATAAACAAGAATCTTATTTATTATTCTGTATTAATATAATATTAAACGTAAATATATATGAAAAAATGAAATAAATAAATTAACAAGTGAATAAATAAATTAATAAACAAGTAAATGAATAAATAAACAAGTGAATAAATATAAAAAAGACAAGAAAATATATATAAAAAAAATGTTTACCTAGTAAATAAAAAGATGATTAAATAAATAAATAAAAACAATTCTCAGTAGTTAATGATATAAAAAAAAGCATACATTGAACATTTACATATAAAGATAGGCGATATGAGACATTTTCATCATTGAAAAACGTTATTAATTCAAAACTGATGTAGATATTATATTTCTTTCACAATAACATATTACGGACTTTGAGATGATTAAATTTGATTCTATATATTTTGTGTAAATGAAATTAACAAAAACAAGGAAATGAAATATGTAATAAAAGTAGTACTTGTGTTGGTGGTCATATTATATTAAATAATAAGCTTATTAAAAATGTGAAAATCTAATCGAAAGAGTTAAAAGTTTTAATCCGTTTAACTGAAATTCAGCTCAGATAAGACAAAGTATGATACATGTATCATTTCCCTGACGAATTTTGACATTATATTATCATATTTCTATAACAGATACGGATACATTCGGAGGCTGTTCGTTGACAAGCTAAGTGCCTTATGTCACAAATTCGGCTTGCTGACACTAATCCTAGTATATGCCGGACAGTCTGGGACCACGTTTAATTAGTTTTGTATAAGTAAGGATTAAGTTAGGTCCTGATATAACTGTGAAATTTATACCTATCAATTATTGAATGTTGACAATAAATTTCAAGGGTCATAATACTAATTAATCAGATTGAACCTATTGGTTGTACTCTTAACTTAAACAAACATATTCATAGAAACAACAGTTATTTTTTTTATCTTTCTCTCAAATAAACAAGTAGTTAATGAAAATAAATAAAAAATTAAGAAACGAATTCTTTTTTTCAAATAAGTTTGTAATTGATATTTGATCTTATTTATTTATTTAAAAAAATATTATCTTAATTTTGATATGAATAGTTTCAACAGTTCATATGAAAAGTATCTACAATTTGACAGTGAATTTGAATTGACACTTATATAAAGTTTGACAATATACATTAAACAGTTAAAAGTGTCAGAAATTATTTCTGCTATCAGTATGAAATAAACAGATTTCCCTCGTTTATTTCGTAGACAAAATTTACAGCTATCATCCTGTGTGGTAAGGGGTGTCAGTAGAAAACAAGTCGCCCTGCTGCGGAACTTGCTCCTGATATTATCTTTACCGCTCGCGTCTTGTTAACGGGCGACGATTAAATTAAATTTATTGAGACTGAAACTAGCTTCTGATAAGAGATAAATGTTTAACATCTTCCGTAAAATTTTGATAAATACACAGATAAATTTGAATTAGAAAATAATAAAATAAATATAAAATTTTTATTTTATTGTCACGAACTTTAAAGATACTGATTACGCTAACGAGATGAGGATGTTTTAGTGCAAGCCAGATCTCAATAGAAATAACTAACAAATGTACTTGATAACGTGACAATTAAAATGGCATATTATATTATAAACACTTTAACGTGCAGTTTTTGATTAAAACGCATAGTTTCAATCTCTAATAGAGGGAAAATAAATAGAAAACAAAATAAAAAACAAACTTTGGCTTCTAATAGTAGTAGTCTCTTGGCAATCATACCACATCTCATTATCTTTATATTAATACATAAAATTGTAGTATATATATATATATATATATAATTGTTTAGAATATTTTGATTAAGGGATTGTAACGTATGTTTATTTATTTTCTTCTTTCTATTTTTGAGTAAATAATAATAAAAACAAGAGTCAAGTTTAACATCCATGCTCTTCTGAGTATAAAGCCAATCTACTTAAAAAATAGTACGAACCTTCCTGACTTTGTGATGACCATTTCAGTTCCCATACTGTGGAATTGGTCCCACAGCTCTTTGCCTTCAAGTTCAACTTTAGGGTCGTCATGAATTTCAGACTCTGGTGGGTCCATATTCCTCATTTGTCTCTGATGTAGAGGGTGCATTAAATCAGCTGGTGTGAGTGGGGATCTACCCATAGTACCCATGGCCTGCTGCAGTTTAGGGAGCAGGGATGCGGCATAACCAGGCGATTGTAGAGCGATGTTGGATAAATATTGCTGTTGCTGAGCTAGAAGCGCACTATAGTCTGCTGGACGATGCAGAAAAAACGGATTATAAGCCATCGGTAAGTCCGAATTATTTCCTTGATATATCATAATTTCTTAAGTCCTGTGAATGTATTCATAAGTCGTTACAAAGTCACTAAGTATGTTTATATATGTATGCAGTCCAAATCAAAACTGATTACTGATATAATACTAGATTTGTTACCCCTATATAGGAAGCAAAATTTATCTAACATCAAATCTAAACAATTTCTGAAATATTAGTACGAATCTGCATAATTCATTTTCCATTGATTTGATTGGTTACTTTTGTAATATGAACCAATCAGAACTGAAAAGGGGCGTGTCAATTGAGGTATTGATAAGTTTACCTTCAGGATTAACTGTGAAGGGCAGAACATTTCTTTGTTTTATGTGTCAACACGTTCATTGAATAAAAGAATTGGGTGATTGAGGCCACGCCTCCTAATTCATTTACTTACTGAAGTGATTTACTTCTATGATAAGTATATAATTAAATGAAATGATATATCTATTTTTATCAAGGACATACATCAAAATCATTGATATCAGTTTTCATAGAATTGTTGCCATTTCTAATTGCAATTAAATATATTTTGAATAACATTACTCAAATGCTACAATTTTTATTTTTTTTTAAAGTTTTTTAATCTATATAATTTTTTGTTTCATAACCTTAAACTTAGAATTGATACAAAATTTTAAATGGCCGAAAAAATGTTTTGTAATCGTTATTTTTTTTCAAGACAAAACCTTTCAAAAAAAATCAAGTCAAATTCAGAGTAAAATAGAAACAAAACGACAATAAAAATAAAATGAAAAGGAGACAAAATTCTACCGGGGGAGGAGCTTTGTATAAAAGTTATAAATGTCATTTTTAAAATACTTAGCTGACTTAAGAAAAACAAGTTTAGCACTGGCGCCATGGGCGATAAGAAATAACGCAAATATAAATCTTGGTAGATACACATTACAGAATAATTAAATTCTGTACTAAATCTGTTGATTTTAATGATGATTTGTATGCTGAAAATTTTGGAGATACCCCTTTCGTTGTGTTTATTGGTTGAAATCTGAAAAAATGAAATATGTATTCAACAGATAATACAAATATATCTAGAAAATGGACTAATATAAGATTTTAATCATTAACGAAGTGGATTATAGTTTTATTGAAAATGAATTAAATATTTTCAGAAAACTTCAAAACAAAAATAAAAATAAAAAAAGAAATATATGAAAAGTGTAGCATATGTCAATTCATTATTATTTTATTAAATTTAATAATCATGTTTAATTTCAATCCACCGTGACACTTCATTAATTATATTTTTCAATAATGTTATCTGCATAACTTTAGGGAAATATGGAGACTGCTAGCACACGAATATGGGAATGACACCATAATTGGTCGACACCTATTACTGATTTACCTGAACTGATTATGATGAAAGAATTAAATTATGCATAATTAAATCATAAAAATTAATAGATGATAATCCGTTGATATCGTCAAGGTGTCTGCTGTCTAAGGGGAAGATTATTAAATTGTGTTAAAGGATTAAGAATTAACGATGGTGCCACGAGTTGTCATATTTTAATAATCATATATACCTCAAGCTAATACACAAATTATTATTTAAGAAGAATTTAATTTGAGATAGAGCGTAAATAATGTATTTTCATATATAATTTCACTGTAGCTGCACTAACTTTTATTTAAATGAATATTGGCTCAATCTATTCATTTTCCTAATACATTTTTATAAAAGTAGGAATGAACTCTTGACAAATTAGAGGAAAATATCAAAATGTATGGAAATTCATTAGAATACTTAATATGAATGGTATAATAAAAATCTTTTTGTGAATACGATCATCATTCAAATGGTTATTATTTCTGAACGGCTATGTGGCTGCAAATCTATAGTGCAAGTAAATGAGTTTTGAATTATTCCTGTATATTTTTACAAAAATAATTAAATTTTATATTAGTTTCATTCACAGTAGGAAAGGCTGGAACACTAATTTCATTTCGTTATAAACAATACGAGTCTATGACACACCACACTATTCATCTAACAATTATTGCAATAAAAATTACCATGTCTGGTAAAGATAACAAGAGATTGAAAAATTTCCCAGTAAGAAACAATTTTATTGTAAAAAATCAGACAGATTTCACTTTTTTATTTTACTTTTAGATAAAATGTTGATTCAAATTTGTCTTTCGCGACAAGATAACTAATTTAGCCTCACTATTGTAGAGTATTACTGTTACTTGCGAGGAAGACAATCAAATAATCAATGACATTTCTTTATGAAAACAAAATGTCATTTGCCAATAGGATGTCGCTTACTTTAATGTACGAAGGGAGACAACCGCGTCTTTTCATTTTCAGCTGTTGCAACAAGTATTTATGAAATCTGTTCTAGGCTATAAAGATACAACCTCAAAGAGAAATATACACGAAAAGAGTCAACAAGGCCTTATCTTTCCTCTCATAAGACGCTCAATTGGTCTATAAAAACGACCACAAATGAATTTTCATTTAAACAATCAGTAAGAGGTTTCCACATAAAACCAGACAGATTTCACGTTACAAAGAACGTACAAAGTGTGTGATTTAAATGATGTTTAGACATTCTTCACAAAATATGAGCCACAATCATTACTTCAAAAACATTATTATTTATATTGAAAAATAAGTGGCAGTGCAAAATTTTATTTTTCACTTAAAAGTTCTGATTTGTGTACAGAATTGAATAGTAAAGCTTTGATATTTTCATTGACAGGAAGGTGTAAAACCTATATCCACAAAAGATTATGGCCGCATCAAAGGGTTTCCGAACGTCTTAACAGCTGAGGCAAATGTCGGTTTAATCTGTGGGTAGAATTAGATCGATGCCATTGCTTCAGGGAAGAAAAAGTAATGTCAAACGAATGGAAAACCATATGCATGAGCTTTTATGAATTGTAGGTGGAATTATTATGACGTCTGTTCAAAAGTCAAAATGATTACGAACTAAAGTTTAAATCTATTATCTTAAACATGTACACTATTGAGAACATACGATCAGAAAACAAATGCGATGGGTTTAAATTACAACCTAAAGTCAGGCATAAGTCTCGCACGTATTCTCTCTGATTATCGTTCATGTATTAAACTTGTAAGTTATTCTCTGTTGATTTTAGCGTTCTTTCCATTATTGCGTATGCGTGTTCATTACTACATTGGTTTGTTCCTCTTCAACGTGCAACTAGTGTCTTCGGCTTTCCAACATTCAGTTGTGAGCAGCGTTGATAACAGAAAAATCTTTGAAAAAGTGCGTTGTTCATCAAATGACTTACGTTGTGTTGTGCTTTGTATTCTGTTAGTCATTTGCTCGGTTTTCGCTTTTTGTCATAATTTTGTCAATACGTTTTCGACTTGTAAGTTTGAATATCCCTTTGGTATCTGTTGCCTCTCTTTTACGGTATCACGGAATTTCATATTACAAGTCATCAGTCGAATCCAAGTAAAAACTTATCTCGCATCGCTTCCCCTCTTCAATCTTCAGATAAATGTAATAGCTGTAGCTAGCTAATTTCATGGATAAAGATGTAAAAAACGGGAGCGATGAAATATTTTTAAAATACAAAGCACCGACCGATTTCAATGCTGTCGGACTGCAAGTCCCCGAGACCATCGCTCCAGTAACCGCTGTTTTAGAATTGATATATAACTATGATATTGATACCTTAAGAAAGTTTCAGGCGACAAATGATGTGAAATTTATTATATACAAGGTTCCCATCCCTATTTATTATCTAAACGATTTAAGCATTTGTTAGATGTTTATCTACGCATTATAGCTCTTCAATGTTTAATACTTTTTTATTTCCATTATTTGGTTCGGAGCAATCACAAACCACAAAATACGCATATTTGTGCATCAAGTTAATTTTCTGCGTCATATGGTTTTCTATTTGTTTGATGTAAGAATCTGCTTTATGCTTCGTCGAAACGTCTAAATTATCCGTATATTAAAATAAAGTACTGAGGTACTGAACATCGGATGACCGCAAGTTCTTGTGGATGGCCGTCACAAGCACTTGTCTCAGAAAAAAAATCACATCTCTATACCTGAAAGTGAGGTTAACGTACAGAGATATATTTTTTCTGAGACAAGTTCGTGCGTGGATGATGAATAAATGACAGGGAATTCAACCACACCGTAATAACTATTATATTGTAGTGATACAAATCAGTATACTCTGGTTTGTTGTTATATATTATATTAATATTTGTATATAACAGTTATATGTATATATAATTTTCGTCCATTTGTATATCATTCTATTCTACTATTCTAATAATAGTGCAGTGCAAGTGCATGGTGGACACTCTTCTGTAATGATTTTTCTAATAGATTGGATTTGAGTATGCATTCATATTTTCCCGCAAAACGTTCTTGAGATATTCTTCAACATGCGTTATCACGATTTTTCTGTACGTGTGCATAGATATTAATGATTTTTTACTTATATATATATTTCTAACGACAAATCATTTTCATATTATTAATTTATATTCTAAAAAAAAATATTTTTATGAGTATTCATTGAATAAATGAATTTATAACAAGCGATAAGGAATGTTATTTTGCACTCGATAATGTCCGCGTATTTATACGATCGGTTACCAGTCAAAAACGAAAGTCAAATCTCTGTGGCAACAATACATCGGAATGCCCTCACGGTCATCGCGATTTAAAAAGAAGTAGAGAAAGGTTTTTTATTAAAAAAAAAAAGAAAAAAAAAAGAAGAACGGGTATACGATGCAAATATCAACCACAGTAAAAAGTGATAAATCAAAAGGGAGATAATATGCTGTAAAATTGGGATGACTGCTTTCAATTTCTTCGTTAATAAGTCAATTTTCGACCGTGCAAGACCCTCATGGGTAGTCAAGGTTGTTAAAAAAAACCTCGTCGAACTATAGCATGATGCCCCAGAAAATAGATAATACCTACATGTAGGGTTTCGGGTGTTTTGAAAGATCAAGCAAGTGGACATGGTTAAATTCTCAATAACCAATATTATACTCAAGACTCAAAAATTGAAGTAGTATTCTTTCGTGAGAATGTAAGGGCGTATAACGTTTCCGCATTTTTAGCAAAAATCCAGTTTCACGTTT